CCTTCGCATGAGGGGACCACCCACTATCATGTCTCCAGTAGATTTGATTAGGCCATGAATGTGAAGTAATGCAGAACTGATGGAGTATGATGCTCATGGAGATCAAGTACGACTACAGAGGCAGTGCTAGAAGCTGAAGAGATGAAGTCATCTCATAATTTCACATGCATCCTCTCCACTCCAAATCACACCATCTTTTCCTATGGAGTATGGACAGTTTTCCACAGCTGTCTGTGGTCCCCATCAAATTTTGCTATATGGAAAAAAAATCAGTTTGGATATTTTGTTAAATATCAACGAAAAAACAGGTTATTATAGTTTAGCTTTTTTTAATTTAGTTTTTATTTCCATTTATTTTCAATTTGTCTTTTCAATTTATTTGTGTAGTTTGTTTTAGTTTTTATTTTAGTTTTAGTTTTTTAGTGCTTTAAAACAGTCTATTGTAATTACAATCTATTAAAAAAGTGATATTTTCTTGCTTATTGTATGCAGGTCAAAAGGTTTCATGTTTTGAAATATACATTGTACACCACTGTTATAAATGTTGGGTTGAATAGGATTTTTGTTTTGTTTTTGAAAAGTCTCTTATGCTCACCATGGCTGCATGTAAGTAATCAAAAATAAATACAGTAAAAACAACTCTATTATTGTGAAATATTTGTAAAATTTAAAATAGCTGTTTTCTATTGTAATGTATGTTTTAAAATGTAATTTATTCCTTGTATGTAAAGCTGAATTTTCAGCAGTCATTACTCTTCTAATATTCTAATATGCTGATTTGGTACTTCAAAGCATTTCTTATTAGTCCTGAATAGAATACTTTTTCAGGATTTGTTGTATATAAAGTTCAAAAGAACAATTTGTAATATATATATATATATATATATATAAAATTATAAATGTTTTCGTGTCATTTTTGAGCAATTTAATGCATTCTTGCAAGATTAAAGTATTAATTTCTTTAAAAACTTACTGATCCCAAACTTTTGAATGGGAGAGTATCAAAAAAGAAAAAAAAAGGGTTTCTCATATGTTTCCCATATGGTCATCGTTTCTTTTTTTCTCTCTCTCTGTTTTTTCTTCTTCTTTTGTTTCCCCTAGATTTCCTATTTCCACATTGTCTGTGTAATGCAGTGAGATTCTCTATTCTGTTAGCTCAGCTTCTTCCAGTGCTTGCATGACCTTTATACTAATGGTGAACTCATCTAACCTCATTAATTACCTGTAAACTCTGACTAATCTCTGCTTAATTACTCAATAAACACATATGTCTCATGTACATAATGTAAAATTGTATTTGTAATTGTGTTGCAATTACCTCTTTGATACTGCTTTGTGTAAATGACACTGTCTTTGGCCTGTTGATAATCATTCAGGTGTGTGTGTAATCATGTGGGTTGGCACGTATTTGTCTTATGCGCATACATTTCTAGACTGCTAGACAAGTTTAAAATATGTCTCTGTTGATGACTCTTTATTGCACTCGTTCATATTGATTACACTAGTAAAAACAGGCAGACGACTGACACGTGAATGAATCACTGGCCCAAAATTCATTTGCATCACTGGTATCTTGGCTAGAAATGAATTGCTGCATCAGAGTGCAGACGCTATTATCATCACTCAGCTTGCGTTCACTCACATGGGCAGTTAATTAATGCTTTGGTTTGCATAGACCATTATTGTTGATCAAGCTCCCGCTGGTCTTTGGCATGCGTGTCAAAAGAGGATGAATGCGAGGATGATTGGTGCACAGACCCTGCTCTGTTCTGAATGACTGGGCTCTTGTCAGTCACTGATGTGATTTAAAGTGCATTACCTCGCCTCTTGGTTTCCACTGGAATCTTACCTCTCTGCTGATGCTGTTCATCCTTTGTCTAAGTCATTTTCCTTTCCGCCCTCTCAGAACATACTGGTAACAAAGTAACAATAGATTTCAGAAACTATTTTGGTCTGTGTTACCATGGAAACGCTGGGGTGTAAGTTGGGAAAGGATTAGGGGAATTTTGCCAATGTTTGCTGGCAGATATATACTGTATATTAGCAGACTAAAAAGCTGTCTGTTGCTTAGAATAGAATTTCTGGGAATATAGTACTTAAAACGTTCTTTGACATTTGGCAGATTTTATTAGTTTGATTAAACTGTGTTTCTGTATTAGAATAGACACTTTATTTTTTAATGAAATATTGTGTCAGCTTAAAAGTATACCTTGCAAAAGTATTCATTTTTTTCACGTTTTGTTATGTTGCTGCCTTATGTTAAACTGCTTTAAATGACTTTTTTCCCACATCAATCTACACTCCATACACCATAATGGTAAAGCAAAAAACTGGTTTTTAACATCTTTGCAAATTTATTAAAAATAAAAAACTAAAATGATTCCATTGCTTAAGTATCCATACCCTTATCTGGGACAGTTGAAATTTAGCTCAGGAGCATTCATATTGCTTGTAGATGTTACTACACTTCGAGTGAAGTTAACCTGTGGCAAATTCAATTGAATGGGCATGATTTGGAAAGGCACACACGCCTTAATAAAAGGTCTAACAGCTGATAATGCATATCAGAGCAAAAATCAAGCACTGAGGTCAAAAGAACTGCCTGTAAAGCTCAGAAACAGGTTTGTCTCAAGCCACACATCAGGGGAAGCGTTCAGAAAAAAAAATTCTGCTTGTAGCATGTAGCATATAGTCTCTGTTTCCCTTAATGGAAGAAGTTTGAAACAACCAGGACTCTTCCTAGAGCTGGCCTTCTGGCCAAACTGTGCAATTGATGGAGAAGGGCTTTGATTAGTGTGGTGACCAAGAACCTGATGGTCATTCTACTTGAGCTCCATGATCATATGTGGAGATAGGCGAAATCTACAGAAGGACAAACATCACTGCAACACTCCACCGAATTGGGCATTATGGCATTGTTGCCAAACTCAATCCTCTCCTCAGTGAAGACACATGAAAACACACTTGGAATTTACAAAAAAGCACCTAAAGGACCCTCAGACTCTGAGAAACAGGATTCAATGGTCTGATGAACCTCAATTCTAAGCATCATGTTTGAAGGAAACCAAGCACTGCTCATCATCTGCAGAGTACCATCCCAAAAGTAAAGTGTGCTGGTAGCAGCCTCATGCTGTGGGGCTGTTTTTGGGGCTGAGGGACTCGTCAGAGTAGAAGGAACGCTCAGTGCAGCAAAATATAGAGATAGCCTTAATGAAAACCCAGTCCAGAGCGTTCAGAACCTCAGACTGGGCAGAAGGTTCACCTTCCAACAGGACAATAACCCTAAGCACACAGCAAGAGTGGCTTATAGACAACTCTGTGAATGTCCTTCAGTGGCCCAGCCAGAGCCTGGGATTGAACCCAGTCAAATATTTCTGGAGAAACCTGAAAATATGCATCTGCCCCCTTCCAACCTGACAGAGCTTGAGAGGTGAAGAGTTGAGGAGAAGGATGGCAGATAATTGCCAAATGCTGATGCGCAAAGCTTGTCGCATCATACCCAAAAAGACTTGAGGCTGTTAAGGTTTTTCAGCAAAATATTTAGTAAATGGTATGAATATTTACGCAATGTACTTATTTCAGTTTTTTATTTTTAATAAATGTACGAAGTTGTGACAGTTCTGTTTTTGCTTTGTCATTATGGTGTATGGAGTGTAGATTGATGTGGGGGACAAAAAGTAATTTAAAGCAGTTTAACATAAGGCAGCAACATAACAAAATGTGAAAAAATGATGAAAAATTAATACTTTTGCAAGGCACTGTATATATGTACATAGAAAACAATCTCACAAAATATTTACCTGTTATTATTATTATTAAAATGAATAAGTGAGTCTTTCACAGTAACAAAAAAATTAGTTAAATGAATATAATTAATATTACTACTACAACTCATACTATTATTACTAATGTTGTTGTTCTTGTTAGTAGTAGTAATAATAACAACAGCAGTAAAATTATTGATATGTTTTTTTTATTAATGTCAATAATAATATTAACAACAATAAAATTATTATTGATAATAATAATTATGATTAATAATACTATTTCTATTTTAGGATTTTTTATTTTAATATTTTATTACATTACATGTGTGGTTCAATATATGTTACAGAGGGAACACAGGAAGTGTGCGGATCTATCTGCAAGGCTTTATTAACAGAGATGTGGTCAAAGACAGGCATAGGTCAGAAAATGGCAAACAGGTATATTGATGGCAAGGCAAGAGGGATAATCCAGGTACACAGGCAGTGATCAGAACACGGGGAAACAGACAAGGCAAGACGAAGAAAACAAGACACTAGGCTCGGTAATGCAGCTATCGCTGATGAGTGATAAACGCAGAACAATACTCGGCAGTGAATGGTTGTCTGAGACTGATTCTTATAGTGGGTGTAATGGGTAGCAGCTGTGTGTGATAAGTTTCAGGTGAGCTTGTGATTAGCGCAATGGAGCATGGGAAATGTAGTCCAGGGTGATGTGTAATAGTCTGTGTGGTGTGAGAGTCAATATAATGGGAGGGCGACCTCTGGTGGCAAGTGGATGGAAGTTCATGGACAGGATTCGTGACAATATGGTTTAAAATTATATACTAATTTAAGAAAAAAGTGACAATTTTGAAAATTTAAGAATTATTGATAATACACGATTTCTCTGTCAAAATATTCACACATAGGTTTTATCCAAAAACATCTGCATACATACAGTTAGTGAATGAGATGAGAGTTTTCAGTCAGAATCATGTTTCTAACAATGCTGCAGATTTCACTCTGCTTATAGAAAAAGTGATCGAAGGTATATTAGTGGGATTTAATGCATGAGAAAGTCCAAATTGCTGTTCTCTGTTTCACACACTAGCATTGAAGCTCATATGAAGCTCTCCTCAGCCAGCGAATCACAACCCTTATTTCTCTTCAGATACTTCTATTCACGATCACTTCAGTCTAGCCTTTGATTTTTATATATAGCAGCTTTCTAAAGTGCCCCTCTCTGATTTGCAGCTCTTCTGTACGCCACCATCTTTGGAAACGTGACCACCATCTTTCAGCAGATGTACACGAACACTAATCGCTACCATGAGATGCTGAACAATGTGAGAGACTTTCTGAAGCTCTATCAGGTGCCTAAAGGACTGAGTGAGAGAGTTATGGATTACATTGTGTCCACATGGGCCATGACCAAAGGCATAGACACAGAGAAGGTGGGTAAACCTATTCATCTTTCTGATGTATTTAGCACTTACCTTGTGCAGAGATCTGAATGTAGGGTACAGGGTGTAGAAAAGCCCTCATGAGGGAAATGTATTCCTTTTTCTCTCTCTCTCTCTTCTCTGTGGGGTATTTTGCCACATTGTACCCTATTCATATTTACTTTTTAAATTTTGGTTACTTTTTATAAAACCATTATTCCACTATTTACTTTTTATAGAACCATTATTTGTGAAAATTTGCAATTTAACTGCCTGCACAATTTCTGAAATATTTATGCCGTTATTCTCTTCAGAGATGGACAATCATGCCTGCTTTCGCCAGTGTTTGTTGTTTGTGAAAGACACATTCTGGAAATACAAACACTTTTTATTTTTATAGTTAAGCAAGGCTAAAGATGTGGTTTTGATCATATAAGGCATTGTTTTAATTACGTTTCTTTAATCTTTATAGTGGTAACAGGAGTAATTACAGCTCATAAGCAGTTCCTTCTTCTCTCTTTCTGACTTTAATTATGAACCCCAAATCAAGACATTTGGATGTAAGCTGTGCGATCCCAAATGCTGAACTAAAGAGAAATCATTTGGTTTATCTTTTTTTCCCTGATGGATGCTATCATTCTGTCAGAAATGCCAAACTTAAATAAGTGAGTTATTGAATAAGAGGGTCATCTTTTTTATGTATGTGTCTCTACATCAAGACCTCCTTTTGTATTTCATTCTAAAAGAGGAATAGGAAATTGCATTATATCCCAGGAGACATCAACCCTCAGGGAATGGAGAAGACCTACTCAACCTCTGGCTCAAATTTAGACCTATAAAGGATTCTCATAACTGATTTTCATGCAGCGTGTGGTGAGAAATCCCCTCCATTTTTTTTATGTTTGTCACTGGGCATAACTGGCAAATTTAAACATTTTCAAAAAGATATGGGGACAGCACAGATGGACACGTTCACAGCAAAAAATGTGCCTGTCGAAGTGACTTTTCATTTAGAAGTTGAGCAGAACATGTTCCAGAGGTCTAGATATTTATTATACTTATGTATAACATTGTTCATCTGCATTATTTATCATGATCTGACCAATAGATTAAATTGGAATATGGAAGAATAGGCCTGACCAGAAAGATTCTGTATTGGTAATGGAGGCACAAAGTATAATTGGTTTCTGCAGTTGTAATTGCATTCTGGTGAAGCAATGTGCATTAGATCTTTTCCATGCACTTAACACCCTGCATGCATAAAATGCATGTAAAAAGCATCCAGCATATGCCAAATTTTTTATGGGCACTTAATGATGTAATATTATTGCCAAAACCCCATACGCGCTGATACCCACATACTGTTCATATTCATACCTACACACATAGATTTTTGGCCAGTGCTACTTTCAAACAATATTTTTCTTAAATTATTCTACACAACTGCAGTATTCCTCAAACATATATACTGTATATAGATAGAGAAAATGGCATATAAATAAATAAATACAAAGATTTTTAAGTAATCCACATTGTTGTTCCTGTCAGTAATTTTAAATCAATATATGTATATATATATATATATAAATATATATATATGGATTATATTAAGTTCATGTTTATAATCAAATCTACAGATATTAGAATGTCTTACTCCATAAACCCCTATTTGATATTTGATTTATGTTGCCGAAATCTAATTAATTTAGCTGTCATGATGCAAAAGAGACCTCATTCTTGCCCTTTTCATCAATACGGAGGCCCTCAGCTAAATGGGACACTTAAGCTCATTAATGAGTTACTGTATTTGGGTCCCTATTGGAATCAGTACACAGTAAAGAAAATAAAAACTCTATGATTAACAGACTGAATCAGTTGTAATCATCTTTTGTTATTATACATACAATTTAATTGTTAAGCAGTTGTGTCAAAGCCAGCTAATCTTAGTATGTTAATAGCATTACAGTACAAAAATGATTCTTCAGCTCAGTGTTAATTTAGTGTTTAGTGTTAATTTAGCTCTTACTGCTTAGACAGCACACAAGTGAAATATTCAGAAACTGACATTTCCAAATATCACCAGCAACTGAACATCTTTCTGTTTGACTTATTTTTTCTCACTATAGCCTAATGAGGTGCAGTAAGGCAACATAAACTTTGCATTGCCAATACGATTCTGTGCTCTAGCCTATCATTTTAATAACTGACGTACCCCACATTATTACATGACTCTCTGCAATACTTGATTACGATTGGTTAAGATGTTCTGCAGTAAAATATCACATATCACTCATAATACTTATATTATTAAAATCATTTTAAGCTTAAATATTTAATGTCTGTCTGTTTGAACGTATTTATTTATTTAATTTATTTATTCACTGTATGATTTTATTTGATAAACAATTTATTTTATACAGATTATTTTACTTTTTATTTTTTTTTACATTTCATTATATAATATACATATGTCCTTATGTATGTCACAAAAATGTCTCTAATATGTAATTAAAGGTCCAAAATAGAAAAATTTATAAATGTAAAGTCAGCAACGCCAAAGCTCCAAAAATTTTCGCATAGCGTGTTTAATTTTTTTAATACATTTTTTATATTTTTGGAGCTTTGGTGTTGCCGACTTTACGTTTATACATTTTTCTACTTGTTTTTTAGTCGAGCACCCATTTGAGATCGATGTGCGTGCTTTTGCTTGCTCTAGGTCCAAAATAGAACAAATGAACTCCGGTATTAATACAAAAAGAGTTTCACTGAACTATGTACATATTGTTAAGAGAATGTGTCATTAAGACATGACTTTCCTTGCTTCTTGCTAGGTTCTGTCCATCTGTCCTAAGGACATGCGTGCAGACATCTGTGTGCACCTCAACCGCCAGGTGTTCAACGAGCACCCTGCCTTCCGGCTGGCCAGTGACGGCTGTCTGCGCTCTTTGGCGGTGGAGTTCCAGACCACACACTGCGCTCCAGGAGATCTCATCTTCCACGCAGGAGAAAGCATGGACACTCTTTGCTTCGTGGTTTCTGGATCGCTGGAGGTCATTCAGGATGATGAGGTTATTGCCATTTTAGGTGAGCTAAATCATTCTTTCCACACTAGAAAAACAAAAGTCAAGCGAGACCTCAGGGGTTAGTTGTCACATAGAGAAGTCATCACAAGGGCTATATCTCAAGTTACTATAAGATTTTATGATATAAAACCAAATACACAAATGTATGTTGGTTTGAAACACTTAGTTTAAACGGTAAACTAAAATTGGGTAAACAAGTGAACACAGTAGAACCACACTAGCATCAAGGCATCACAGTATGGTAAGGGGCGTAACATTTCCATCACACGCTTGAGGTATTCGGCTAATCACAACGCACTGGATAGCTGGCCAATCAGAGCACACCTCGCTTTTCAGACCGATGAGCTTTGTAAAAATCGATGCGTTTCAGAAAGGCGGGGCATAGAGGAGCAACAATATTGTACAGTATGTGGAAAATAATGTGTTTTTTTTTTACTTTAAACCGCATAAACACATTTCATTACACCAAATCCACAAAATAATTTTTTTGTGTGAAATTAAAAATATATATATTTTTTTTTTTTTCCATGAGAATGCCAGGACTCTCTGGAAAATTAGATCTTGTATCTCAGTCTTTCTTGGCTAAAAATTCCTGTTGATCAAAACAATAGTTTGGTATTATTTTACCTTTTAGATTTTTGTTGCCTTTTCTTGTTTCTTTCACTTTTTCACTTAATAAGCACTGTTATTTTAGTATTATCAATTCACCAATATAGTATTTAATGATATTTTGAATTAGCTTGTTACTCTAATATTTTACATTTTCATTCTAATTTCAGTTTAAGGGTTTAGTAATTTTAGTAATGTGCATTTTTAATCTTTATTTCTTTTTTGTGTTTTTTATATTTCTCTTTAGCTTTATTTATTTAATATTTTATATACTAAAACTCAAAAAATAAATTAATAATTTTTTTTTGTTTTAGTAATTTCAGTACTTAAACTAATTCATTTAGTTGCCTAGAAAACATAATTTTTTGTTTTTTAAGTTTCTAAGATTCTACGGTTATTGTATCGACATAGAGCTAAATTTTTTATGTGATAGTTTAATTCTTACATGTATTATAATAAAATATATTATTAGGCCATAAATACATATATATGCAATAAACATCCGTATTCCTAAACAGTTTAGTGGTGGAATTTTCATTAGGCGTGTCAGAGGTTTTGGGTTCTATTCTGCCTTCGTATAATTTTATACTTATTTTTTACGTTTAATAACATATACATTTTTTAACTTATTAAAATAAAAATTGTTCATCAGTGATCATATATCAAGAGCAGGGACACATTTGTGTTTATTTTGTTTTGTGATTTAACCGGAATGAATAGATAGTTCCCAAAACGTTTAAGAGATAGATTGAAGTGATGTGTGAAGACGAGCCATTCCTTCACTAATAACATTGCAACAAACATTCAGCATGATTTCAAAAACAACAGATTCCAGGCCCTGATCAAATCTTATTTAACAGAAACAAATGTTAGCTGCATATGTTTCATCTGCATTAGGTACGTCCATGCCGCAAGATGTTTCAAAAAAGTAATTGGGACAATATCGACCATGGCAAAAAGTGGTGGGGACATGTCCCACCCGTCCCATCTGTAAATTTTGCCTACGAACTTACCCCATATATTGTGACAACATGTCCCACTGTGGTCACAAGAAATCAGCTGTGTGTTCAAAACACTTGTTGGAAATGTTCAATAGCTTTTAATAGCTTTTGAACATTTTGATTAAAGCATAGGCCAAGACCTCAATATATGTGCCTGTACAGAAATTAACTTTCAATAAACACGCCCCGAGAAATATTCACTGGTATGAAATATGTGACAGTATATCCAAAATATTCAGCTTTTAAGCAGGTTGAATATTCTTGAATAAATACAGAATCCTGTTTTATTTCAATATATACTTTGCTACTGCTGTTAATATTTTTTGCACAACATCATTGCGCAGCATTCTCATTAAACTCATTTATACTTATTTTTTACGTTTAATAACATATACATTTTTTAACTTATTAAAATAAAAATTGTTCATCAGTGATCATATATCAAGAGCAGGGACACATTTGTGTTTATTTTGTTTTGTGATTTAACCGGAATGAATAGATAGTTCCCAAAACGTTTAAGAGATAGATTGAAGTGATGTGTGAAGACGAGCCATTCCTTCACTAATAACATTGCAACAAACATTCAGCATGATTTCAAAAACAACAGATTCCAGGCCCTGATCAAATCTTATTTAACAGAAACAAATGTTAGCTGCATATGTTTCATCTGCATTAGGTACGTCCATGCCGCAAGATGTTTCAAAAAAGTCATTGGGACAATATCGACCATGGCAAAAAGTGGTGGGGACATGTCCCACCCGTCCCATCTGTAAATTTTGCCTATGAACTTACCCCATATATTGTGACAACATGTCCCACTGTGGTCACAAGAAATCAGCTGTGTGTTCAAAACACTTGTTGGAAATGTTCAATAGCTTTTAATAGCTTTTGAACATTTTGATTAAAGCATAGGCCAAGACCTCAATATATGTGCCTGTACAGAAATTAACTTTCAATAAACACGCCCCGAGAAATATTCACTGGTATGAAATGTGTGACAGTATATCCAAAATATTCAGCTTTTAAGCAGGTTGAATATTCTTGAATAAATACAGAATCCTGTTTTATTTCAATATATACTTTGCTACTGCTGTTAATATTTTTTGCACAACATCATTGCGCAGCATTCTCATTAAACTCAAGAAAGCCCAAATGCTGCACAGTTATCCAGTTTGTACTACATTAATACATCAGAGCTCTGTAGGTTTTTCCTGAGGGCACTAACCGCAGCTCCAAAACACATCAAGCTTTGCATAAGTGCTGAAAAATAACAAACTTATAAAGGGCACAATACTAATGCAGTGAATTCTCTAAGATGGTTTTCACACAGGATCTTACACAGTGAACTCGCTAACGTTCATTCTCTGAAGTAACATAAAAGCCCACACTCTGCTCCTTGCGTTATATGTGGCATTTGTTACTCTGTCCACGCCGTCTCCTTATCCTGCTGTAATGGAACTGTGGGGACCGATTCTCCGTCCATTGATTGTTGAGTCTTTTGTTTCACAGGGATGTTCACTGGTAGTTCACAGTCTCCAGTGCAGCCAGTGCTATAACAATGACCAGATTTGTTGTCAGAGAAAGAGGCATATTTTTAAGCACAAATGCAAACTGCTCTTGTAAAAGACGAGTAAGTCCTGGCTCGTAAACCTCTTATTAAAAATTAAGAAAACAATAACTATCAGGCCTTGGTCATCTGTCTAATTTGTGTACAGCCCCCCTCCCCCCACCCCAAATGTCTCTTCAGCAAAGAGACAGTTACTACCTCCTCATTTAACTCTGAGCCTGGAATCAATTCCACTATGAACAATAAAAACAGGATGGCTATTTTGTTTTAATGAACATGTGTGCAAACAGGCATGTTTAAAGATTTTTCCCCTTCTTTGACTGGACTATTTCTTTATCTGATCATCTCTCGAGTCTTGCTGATGTACCACTGCCACAAGAATGTGACGTGCCCTTTCATTGACGTGGTGTAACTGCAAACAACATGACATTAGACCTTATGAGACACCGTAGAGAGGAAGTTAATGTCTCTTCTCTCTAATGGGGATTCGGATCAGATGCTCTTTTGCTTTAATTATTATGAAATGAAATAAGATGCGAACGCTGTGAGTTAATTAGCCCTAAGGCATTTACTTGAACCCACCAGACTAAACCTGCTGGGCTCCTAATGATGCCCCTCATCAAAAGCGTTGAACACTGGGTACTTATTTGTACAGATTCTCTCATGAGTCTGGTGTGTGAACTTAGAAGATACTGTACCTATGTCATACTGTAGTAAGATCTGTGGAAGCTTGTTTCTGCCACGGGATACAAACAAAAAAGGTAATTGCAACTTTTATCCCACAACTCTGAACTAGCAACTCTGATAGGGAAAAAAAACACAATTGGAAGATATAAACTCAAAATTCATATATATATATTTATAATTTATTTTCTTTTTTTTTCACAATTCCGAGTTTATATTTCACAGTTCTCACTTTTTTTCTCAGAATTCTGTTCTATTGTTTCCGCCACAGAATAAAAAATAAATAAAAAAATTATAATTGCGGCTTTTTATCTCACAATTCTGATTTTATATATATATATATATATATAATTGCAGTTATGAGTATATCTCGCAATTCAGAGTGAAAAAAAGCCCAAACTGTGAGATAAAAAGCTGCAATTACCTTCTTTTTTTTTTTATCCCGTGGCAGAAACCGAAACAAGCTTCCTTAAAGAAAAAAAAAACATTTGTGTAAGCATTCGCTGTGCAGGGTGGGAAAAGCATGTGAATAAAAGTGTTAATTAAAGTATTAAAATGTTACTGAGTGTAAGTCACAACAAAAGACAAATACATTCACCTTAAATAATAGGTCCATACTGAACATTAACTGTTGGTAAGAAAAAGTATGTAAACCCTTGGATTCAGTAAGTGCCGGCAATAACCTCCACCAAATGTATGAGAGTTTTGTTATATGACAGGGCAGCTCTGACCAGCAACTCCAATCTCATCTTACTGATTATCGAAGACCTGACACCAGCAGTACAACTGTTTCAACATTATTAATAATAATACATGTTTCTTGAGCAGCAAATCAGGACATGATTTCTGAAGGCTCATGTGACACTGAAGACTGGAGTAATGATGCTGAAAATTCAGCTCAAATTTGAAAAACTTTTTTGCATATTTTTTGCACAATATTTGCATACTTTTTTCCTGCAACTTTATATCTGATGTAATTTCAAGCTATGATCCCTGTCTTCTGTCCCAGGTAAGGGGGATGTGTTTGGTGACGTGTTCTGGAAGGAATCCACACTGGCTCATGCCTGTGCTAACGTGAGGGCTCTGACGTACTGCGACCTGCATGTCATCAGGAGGGATGCCTTACTCAAAGTGCTGGAGTTCTACACAGCCTTCGCCAACTCCTTCTCCCGAAACCTCATCCTCACCTGCAACCTCCGCAAGCGGGTAAGTGCTACATACTCACGCTTGTTGTCACCAAATATCACGTTCTAATGGCAACAGACTTTTGCTGAATCCCTTCTTGGAGAATAGAACTCAAACGTGATTGCCCACTTTTTCTCAAGTCTTGGTTCAAGAAGGCTTTTTTTCCCCTGCACTGGCATTTAAAAGTCTTGACATTAGAAAACCTGAATAAAACCAACCAGCTCTGAGATGAAATACATGATAAACTTTGATTTGAAGCAAAAAGTACAGTAAAAAACTGAAGTAAAGTAACTTTATGAGTAAAATAAATATGAAGCATTACAAATGACATATTTGGATAAAAGTGGCTATGATGAATTTGTGGCATATGGAAAACATATCAGTGTTCAGCCGAGATTATTATTATTTTTTGTTTATTTTATTTTTATTTTTCATTTATTAGTACTTGTTAATATTGGATATACTCATTTCCTCTATTGTTACATTTACAATTACCTTTGCTATTTTCTGACAATCGCAGTTAATCTTTGAAGACACTTAATAATTTAATAACAGCTAAATGTTATCTTAAATCACAACTCTCAAAATAAATATGCATTTTTCATCCTGTGGATTATACTGTAATTTTGAGGCCTAAATTCACTTTTAAAATGATTAATTTTTTTTTAATTTTTAATCTATCTTTAAATGAATTATGAAATATTGCAAAATTGAAATACTGTGTGTATTACATATATTTTTGTTATTATTTTTATATTTCCTTTTCTTTTTTTATCTTGCCATATCAGTTAAATTTTTTTTTCAATATAGATTCAAGCACATCCTGGTGCACTTTGACCTAAATGTGTGTTGTGCAGTCCTGCTGTGTGCTGTGTTGGCATGAGTTCAGAGCTCTGTTGCGGCTTTCAGACCTGACCTCACATTCCTTAAATATTCATTTTGACAGACCGCCAATGGAGAACTTTGGGTCTCTTGACAAAAGAAAGACCTTGTGCACTCACAACACAATTAGGAGACCTCAGCTGTGCACTTTACTGCCATTGAGGTACATAATTAGTGAGCATTGTATAAAACTATATTTAGACGCAAAGATTTCCTCTGTTGCTGTATCTAATCTATATTACTGAGGAAACGATGCACTGAAATTAGGTGTGTTAATGTCATTTTTAAATAATGAGGGATGGGAGATCCTTCTTGGATCCTCTCAAGTAAACAAAATAAATTACTAAATTATTTCATAGAGCTGCTGGACTTCTTGGACACAGACAGGAATCACTGAGCCACAATATTAATTTAGTTCCTCTGGCCACAGTACAAGAGGACCTGTCTAATGAGAGGATACTTTGCTAAGGGCACAACTTAATTGATTTAAATGGTTATGGTTCTTCAAGGTCTCTGAGTAACTTTGAGTGCATGAATTTTGCATGCAGCTGATCGGTGGAGCTCGAGGTATATCTTTCATTAGTAGACGACATGCTTTCATTCTTATTGAAAAATTCTTGTTGCAATATTATTTTTTTATGTTTGTGTCTTTAATGTACATACTGTGATTTTTCTGATGGGTTTTTACTGTTGATTATTATTTAAATGTGCTAACTTTTACAGCAAGTCGAGAACCATTGTTTATACTGACTAGGCTGAGTTGAGAATAGTGTGAAGATTTTTAAGGGCAGTGTTTTGGTTTCTTTGTCAGTGGAATGACAGAGGCCGCCCCATCGCCCTGCTGTGCTCAGTCGACTGGGTAACGCTGCTGATGGGCCGGCTTTGCTGAGGAGAAACGGCCCCCCCACAGCGCACACTCTGAAAAAAGCATGAGTCAAATCAGTGGGAATGCACACACACACACACACACACACACACACACACACACACACACACATACATACATACATACATACATACATACATACACACACACACACACATTTATCATTTATTAATGATAATAAGAAGTGTGACCTCCTGCTAATGTTATTAAGTTATTATCATCTCATCTTCACCCTACACACAACATGACAAACGTTTAAACGGGTAATTATAGAATATAAAACATAAAATATACAATCAATATGTAATTACACTGGACTATTTAATTATATTTTAATAATATTAATATATTATACTAATATTAGTTCATCAGAAGTTCCTTACGCTTACCAGAGTTGCAATTGTATAATCAAAAATACATTAAAAATGAATAATAATATTGTGAAATATTACTAGAATTTTAAATAACTGTTTCTTTTAATATATTTTAAAATGTAATTTATTCCTGTGATGGCAAAGCTGAATTTTCAGCAGCCATTACTCCAGTCTTCAGTGTCACATGATCCTTCAGAAATCAAGAAACATTTATTAATATTATAAATGTTGGAAACAGCTGTGCTGCTTAATGTTTTTGTGCAAACTGTGATACCTTTTTCTTGGATGAGTAGAAAGTTAAAAAGAACATTTATTTGAAATAGAAATGTTTTGTAAAATGTCTTTACTGTCACTCTGGATGAATTTAATGCATCCTTGCTGAATAAAGTAATTAATTACTTAAAAAATCTTACTCACCCCAAACTTTTGAGCAGTAGTCTGTTTATTTCTCATCCACTATCCTGGATATATTTTTTTCACTGAGCTCATCACAATGCATTCTGGGAATGGGTGAAAGATATCTGTGATGATGCCTTCGAATTTGACTAAAAATAAGTGTCTTAGGAGGCGCCATGATTATAAAAATAAAAGATTCACAGCCCAAGTTCTCACACTTTCTTTAAAGGCTTCTTCAGCTGTCCTTCATACTCCCTCATTATCGCTAATCTCTGCTGGTCAATGTCTGAACAGCTCACTGAGGTTCTGATTGTAAGGAAAAAAGCTCAGTGAAAGCCCTGTAAATATCTCTGAAAGCAAAGGTCACCCTAAAAGAGCCGCAGAGCCCCAGGCCTTTGGCCACTAGGGTGTTAGTGAGTGAATTTTTCCAAGGCTTTACATCCAGTCATGGATTTGCTGTGTGGTGCAATTGGCTTGTAAAGAACTGTTCCTTTGAACTTTCTTTTTTTTTTAGTTAAAGTAACTCATGTGGTTCATGGTGGTCAGAGTAGATCACATTAAGCTTTGCTGAACTGATGACCTTTGATAGTTTGATATTTGACAGATGGCTTTGTTTGGCATACAGTTGTGAAAGTAAAGTTGTGTCTAACCCGTTTCGAGTATTCGTATCTTGTTTCCACATGTTCAGTAGACGATCCCTTTTCTAGATCAGCAGACAATCCAAACCAATCTCAAACGAATACTCCACCATTACCCGATGAGCTCACAACTGTTTGTCTTCGGCCGTTGATTAGTGTCAGATCGGAGTCTTTTTTTGCCCGAGCTGATTCATCTCGGCAGCAAACGCAAAGAGGAAGCAGAATCCTCTACGCCTGCCATGCTTTCCTCCTAACAAGATTTACAAGGCCTTTGGAAAGCTACAAACCCCTGCCAATAAGGTGGGTGAAGCAACTTTATCATCCCCTCCATTACCAACAGGACAGGCAGAGAGATGCTCTCTCAGCATCAAGAGAAAGATTCATAGAGAAATCATCAGATCACAGTGTGTCCACACAGATAAGCCGTGCTTAATAGAACAGTTAATTTTTGGTGCATTGACCAGTGGGGCTATTTGTATCTGCCCCCCAGCGAATCCATTTCAGAAATTGTGATGTTTGAATTTACATTCATTGGCCTTTTACGTCCATTATTAATGCCTTCACTGTAAAAAAAAATTCCATAAAATTTACGGTAAAAAAACGGCAGCTGTGGTTGCTGGAATTTTACCATAAAAATACAGTAGCAACATTTTAGGTTTTACGGTTTTTATTAACTGATATAATGTTAATATACCAACCTATTGAAGTACAGAAATCTGTTTTGTATCTTTGTAATACACTGATAACCACCAAATGCAGGTGGTGATGAGAAAGTCACATGATGAACCAAAGCCCATCACAAGCAGCTTTTAAATAATAACATAAAGAAGGTGCACAGTGTCATTCACACAAACACTGAACACCATCATGGTAACACACATGAAACTGAAATAATGCAATAACATTAGGTGTAACATACAACCCTAATATAAAGAAAAAACTAAGAACTAAACATAGTTATTTCAACAAAAAACCATGAAATTTGAAATGTAACACAGGGAATTCTGGGAATGTCAATTTACGGTTATTCACTGTAAATTATACTGTCTTTTTCACTTCCAAAAATGGTATACTACCGTAAAATTGTGTGTAATGTCCAATACAGTCTTTCACCGTATATAGTAGGGGAATGTACCATTAACCATTTAACAGGTTTTTACTGTAGCATTTTTACAGTCTTTTACCGTTAAATTCACGTAATTTTTACAGTGTTGCAAACACATATGTTTGGTTTTCTATGATATACTCTACATTGGTGTTGCAAATTCTGAGGATTTGTTACCAAGGTAATGTTATCTAGCTGGCTGACATGGATAAAGTTTTTTCAAATTGGCTAAAATTATGTGATAGTCTTGGATCTGTAAGCATCAGTAAGAAGGTGTCTGTGTGTGTGTGTGTGTGTGTGTGTGTGTGTGTGTGAGTGTACTGTATGCTATGGTTCATAAACTTTGAATCAGTAAGACTTTTACATTGTTACATAAGAGTTACATCTCTGATCTTTCTATTCATCAAAGAATTAGCACTGATCAAACTGTAAATGTTTCGTGAGCACCAAATCAGCATATTAAAATGATTTCTGAAGGATTGTGTGAGACTGAAGCCTGGAGTAAAGGCTCCTGAAAATTCAGCTTTGCCACCACAGGAATAATAAATGCAACCTTGTTGAATGTAAGAGACTTCTTAAAAAAAAAGATTCTTACCAACGACCCAGAATACATGTTATTGTGTGATTTATGTATAAGCTGCAGTCTGGTTGTAAGTTGTGTGCGTGTCTGATTGTGTGCATACAATATATGGGCATCTAAAAACATGACCCAGAGAATATTCAACTATTAGCTAATTTGG